AATTAGCGCGGTTGGCTACGTACGGTGCGAAAGAAGTTCAGCGTACATACATGCTGCTGCTGCTGCTGAATCTCGGATGCTGCTTCTGTAACTTCTGCTGCTACTGTTGTTTCTACTACTGCTACTACCGCCGATGCTGCTGCTGCTCTTACTACCGCTGCTGTGGTTACAGCTGCTACTGCTGCTGCTACTGCTCTTACTGTTGCCGATCGAACACCTTTCGCTGCTAACGCCACTGTTGTCTAAGTGAATGTTGCTGCTGCTTGTGCTGTTACAACTCTAGAGAAGGCAGCGATTGCTGCTGCTGCCATGGTGTGGAGCGTGGCTGGGTGGGTGGCTGGGTGGGTGGGTGGGGTACGAGTGGGTCGGTGGGGTATGAGTGGGTGGGTGGGTGGCTGGGTGAGTGGGGTATGAGTGGGTGGGTGGGTGGCTGGGTGAGTGGGGTATGAGTGGGTGGGGTATGAGTGGGTGGCTGGGTGGGTGGGGTACGAGTGGGTGGCTGAGTGGGTGGCTGAGTGGGTAGCTGGGTGGGTGGAGAATGAGTGGGTGGCTGGGTGGGTGGCTCGGTGGGTGGGGTACGGGTGGGTGGCTGGGTGGGTGGGGTATGAGTGTGTGACTGGGTGGGTGGCTGGGTGGGGCGGGGGTATTAGTGGGTGGCTGAGTGAGTGGCTGGGTGGGTGGGTGGCTGGGTGGGTGGGGTATGAGTGGGTGGCTGGGTGGGTGGCTGGGTGGGTGGGGTATGAGTGGGTGGCTGGGTGGGTGGCTGGGTGGGGGGGTATGAGTGGGTGGATAAGTGGATGGCTGGGTGGGTGGGGTATGAGTGGGTGGCTGGGTGGGTGGAGGGGTTGGTGCCCCCCACCCCTCCCCCCACGGGATTTATTAATCAGACATGACGCGCTTGGCGCAGACGTGACCTCCGTTTGGAAGACGGATGGAGAGTTCCACACCGCCCCAATGCCCCGAGGTCTTTCCTCTTCCTTCCTTCCTCCACCCTCGGCTCCGTTTTTTTGCTCCACTCAGGAGTGTTCCCCTGGTGCTCGACATCCAGCATTCATCATCGTCATCGTCGTCATCGTCGTCCTCGCCAGCCACCATCTCGCCACGTGTCCCCTCCCCCCCACCTCCGCCCGCAACTGCGGTCCATCACAAACCAAAACCCACGGGTCGTTCAGCCCGACTCCGGACCGTGGAGTGAAACAACTTCAGTCGCGCGCTCCTTCGGCGGAGGAGGAGGAAGAGGAGGAGGAGGAAGAGCAAGCCGACACGACCTCTTTCTATCTCTCTCTCTCTGTGCCGAAGCCCTCTCAGAATCGGAATCTTTATTCATACTGGAGGAATCCGATGAGCTATAAAGCTCTTTTCACAGATGTCCAGTAGAGGCACGGGGTAAGAACGTTTCAACAACCAACAGAACAACAACAACACGACAGGAGTGCAAAGTACAAGAAAGGTAAACAAATCACCCAGAGACATACAAATAAATGTAGACAATCCTCATCCTACCAAGCAATGCCCCATTGAGGTATTCACTTATGTTTCAGAAGCGATCTGGCCCCAAGTGATAGCTCAACAAAGTGGCCCATCATTTGGACATTTATAGCACCAAAATTATCTAAATAATCTCAATGCGTGTTTTTAAATGTGGAGGGAAAAACCGGAGGACCCGGATTAAAAAAAAAATCCAGGGCGACCACGATAAGAGAGAGACAGAGGCACGCAAACTTCAAATATGCAGCAGGCGGCAGTGTCGGGATCGAACCTCCGACCTCCTGCATACCAGGCGAAGAAGATGACGTCTCACCACCGTGGCGCCCCTATAATAAATCAATAAGTTAAAATTGCATCATCTCGTCGTAGCCAGCAGCTGAACACATTGCTGCTTTACGCAAGCATCCCTTCACCAACCCACACTGAACGGCGTGGCGAAGTGTGGACCAATAACTTCCAGGATGTGGCACGGGTCCCTCATCATCCAGCAGTGGATTGACAAAGAGCCTGCGTGTGAACCGAATCATGTTTCTGATCGCTAACAGCACTTGCCCCAACAGCCTGAGAGCAGCTTTGTTTTTATTTCTGATCCATGTCAATATGTATTAACAACCTTAGTCTGCCATTGATGCAAAGACAAAGATCCCCCTTGGATAGCCTTAGCATTGTTGGGGCAAGTGCTGTTAGCGAGCGCCTATGAAGGCCGGCACGGCACACGAAGGTGGCTATCACCACACCCGACCGCCTTTCTCTCACCAGCGGCGACGTTTATACAGAGCACCAGGTTCTCATTTGAGGCTGAGTCGACCTAAGGGAGGCCCATAACCAGTTCAGATAATCGTCGCCGGTGTTGGCCTGCGAGCGGGATTCGAAATCGTGTCGCGGGGTTTCGAAGCGCAGCGTAGCGCTAACCGCTGCACCACCGCTCCCCACTCCATGAGTATTAAAAACTTCAGTCTGGCATTGTTGCTCACACACACACACGACAGCGGATTGACAGGCGCTCTTGTACGTGCCGGCTGTAAAAAAAGGAATTGACAACTTTGCCCATATTACGAACGGGAGAACGTGCCTTGTGTTAATGTCCTCACCGGGTAATAAATACAGCTCTCGCGAGAAACGTGAGGCAACTTTTATTTTTATTTTCACCCGATCACTTTTCGCATAATTACATTCTAAAACTTGTTCCCAAGTTTGCCTGAGTTTTAGTGCAAGGACAGCAACAGACGATGCATACAGATAGCCGGCCCTCAGCGCAGTGGCTAGGAGATGTTAACTACCTCGCCCGGTATACAGGAAGTCGTGTTTTCGCGTCTTTCTATCTTACCGAGTACGGCCCCACTGAACTGTGTAGCTCTTTATTTTTAGGAGCGACCTGGCTACCACAAATGATACCTCAACGAAGTGGGCTTATCACGTGGACAATTATATCAGCAGCCCAAAAACTCTAAACGCGTGATGTTGATTCTAAATGTGGAGGGAAAAACCGGAGGGAAATCCACGCGACCACGGGGGGAGAGAGAGAGAGAGACACGCAAACTCCAAATATACAGCAGGCGTCAGGGTCGGCGGCATCCAGACACACACGCGTTCCCACGTGCGTACTTGTGAGTGTGTCAGAGTGTGCGTATGTGTTTGAGTGTGTGTGAGAGAATGTGTGAGAGTGTGTGTATGTGAGAGTGTGTGTCTGTGTGTGTGTGTGAGTGGGGAGCGGTAGTGTAGCGGTTAGCGCGCTACGCTACGAACCTGGCGACCCGGGTTCGATTCTCGCTCACGGCCAACACCAGTGACGATTATCTGAACCGGTCCTGGGCCTCCCCTAGGTCGACTCAGCCTCAAATGAGTACCTGATGCGGTGGATAAAAAACATTGCCACTAGGGAGACAAAGGCGGTCGGGCGTGGTGCTGGCCACCCACCCCCTCGTGTACCGTTACGGCCTTCATAGGTGCTCGCTAACAGCACTTCCCCCTACAGTCTGTTAAGGCTATATGGGGGATCTTTTTTATCTTTGTGTGATTGGGGAGCGATAGTGTAGCGGTTAGCGCGCTACGCTACGAACCTGGCGATCCGGGTTCGATTCTCCCTCACGGCCAACACCACCAGTGACGAATATCTGAACCGGTCCTGAGGTCGACCCAGCCTCAAATGTGTAACTGGTGCGGTGCGTAAACATCGCCACTAGGGAGACAAAGGCGGCCTTCATAGGTGCTGTTCGTTAACAGCACTTGTCCCAACAGTCTGTTAAGACTATACGGGGGATATTTGTCTTTGGCATGTGAGAGCACATTGACAATTGTTTTCGCCATGCAAGCCAAGCCACCAAAATCACCCACATGATATAATTATTGTCAGCTTCGTCGTTGAACACATTTATCGCCTTTTTATTCGGGTCGTTTTTTTCAGCCAAAAATAAACAAATAAAAGTTTATGATATCAGCTGAATAATAACCGCAAACCAAAAATTCCAATAAGTATATTTTGTAAACAGTAATATAGGGACCGCGCATTCTCCCCCCCCCCCCCACCCCTTGTCTCTACCAGAAGAATTACATTCCGTTGGTCCAAAGTTAATAAAATACTTTGATACTTAAATGCCATAAATATTGGATTTAATTACGAAATCTCGATCGCTGCTGTGGCTTTTATGCTGGACTATAATTTAGCGGCCTGCTACACATTAACGCGAGATGATGGCTGCCTATGTAGGCCAGCAAATTTTACGTCGGAGCAATTTTCTTATCGTGGGAAATACAACAACAACAATAACAACAACAAAGATAGAGAGGTCTGTTTTGCCACACGGAGAAACACAATTCTCAGTCCGATAGCCTACGAGCCTTCCTGGACCAGTATTTGCTTCAGCATGAAATATAAATATATAAACGATAGACATTTTTATATATATATCTTGGAAAGCCTCACTGATTCGTCTGAAGACTCCAGCTAAGGAGGGATTTTATGTACGTACGTTGAATTTCTTTCGCGCCGTACGTAGCCAACGGCGCTTAATCAGAGGTGCTGGGGGAAGGACAACGAATTGTAACACAGGAAGCAGTTCTAAAGTAATTAGTGTTCAATCTAGATTCAAATGTGCATAGCCCCCAGTGGCTTCCTGATGTCGGAAGGAAGGATCCTGCATTGGTGTTTGGCCAATTCCTTCAACAGCAGAGTGACTCTTGACCTTCGACGCGCAGCCGTGCACCCCTTCGGGTTCTCAGAAAGGGGCACCTCGCACCCCCCCCCCCCCTCCCTAGGGGGTGCGCGCACCCCGGGTTAAGAACCACCGGGCCACAGCGTCCACGTCCACGTGTCTCTCCATCCTCGTGTCCGTCTTCATAGCCGCCTGCCTGCCTGTCCGCCCGTCAGCCCGTTTGTCGTGACCCGTGGTGGCCTTCTCTCAGACTGCCGCTCCGTCCTCGTGTCCCCTCGTGTGCCCCCCCCCCCTCCCTCCCTCACCCCCTACCCCCTGTTCCCCCCGTCCCCCTCCCCGTGTCCCACCCACGCCGTCCAGGTGAGAGCATCAGACGCACGGGAAGACGCGAGGAGGCGAGCACGGACGAACAAACCGCGCGAGTCGAGCAGCACCCCATTCTGTCGTCACCCTCCTTCTCCCTCCCAGCAGTCGACAGTGGACAAGTAAAGCCCACGCCGCCGCCGCCGCCGCCGCCGCACAGATGGATCGTACCGCACGCCTGCCCGTGCGGTACACCTCGAACCCTCTTGTGCTGTCGTTCTCGCGCTCGCTCACGCGCTCGCGTTCTAACACATCACAATCAAAGAGAAAGACCCCCACGTGTGCATATTATTATCAGAGTTGTCTTTTTTGTTTGCATTTTGACTGCTTGTGTTGTGGTTATTGCAAACATGATGCCTTGAATAAAGGTGTCAGTTTTTGTGCCAGTTAAAAGGGTAAAACCTATTCCTATATCTTGTTACTGGCAAAGGAGGTCTCATAATGTAACAGACTGTTGGGGCAAGCGCTGTTAGCGAGCAGCACCTATGGAGGCAGGCACGGCAACACAAGGAGGTGGGTGGCCAACATCACGCCCGGCCGCCTTTGTCTCCCCAGTGGCGATGTTTTTACACACCGCACCAGGTACTCATTTGAGGCTGAGTCGACCTAGGGGAGGCCCAGGACCGGTTCAAATAATCGTCACTGGTGTTGGCCGTGTAGTATAGCTTGTAACAGACTGTTGGGGCAAGTGCTGTTAGCGAGCAGCACACACACACACACACTCGCACACACAAACACAATGATGCTGCCATCGCTCCCTTCCTTCTGCAAAATCCCCTCGATCAGCTGTTGCACAGACAACACTCGACCCACACAAGTTTGACCCTTACAGCAATATCGCCAGCACAAATAACATGTCATTAACATTGTCAATAACACACCCCTTTACACCACAATATATAACACACGTACTACCATTGCGGCCAATGGCTCTGCTTCTTTAATTGTCCTTATATTTTTTTGGGGGGGAGGGGGGCGGGGTGGCTTTATTGGTTTAATTATATAATTATTAAGTTTGACATTGTCCACAGGGTCAAACACAGGGTTAGCTCATGGTCAATACACGTTCACGCCTTCGCCATGTTTCATAGCGACGAGAATCAATACATTTTTCCAATCAACCAGCTTTTCCGGGGTCATACGTAACAATAAACTTCAGTTTTTTTTTAATTTTCTTTCTATATAAACGGAGACAACGATCCCCCATGCACGTAGCCTGTAACAGACTGTTGGGGCTAATGCTGTTAGCGAGCACCTATGAAGGCGGACATTATGGCACACGAGGGGGCTGGGTGGCGTCTCCATGGTGCTGATGTTTAGACACCGTGCCAGATACTAATTTAAGGCTGAGTCGACGTAGGGGCGACCCAGTACCATTTCAGATATTCGCCGCCACCGAGAAAATGAACGTGAATAGACGTGGGGGTCGCAGGGTTCGTAGCGCTGCGCGCTAACCACTGCACCGCCGCTTTCCACACACGTAAATAAATGCACGAGCAATGAGTTGTGGGTTTTATACGTTTGCGATTTTCGGGGTTTTTAAGGACAATTAGCGATCAATTGCGGCAATGGCTCTCGATCTGTCGGGAATAGCTGAGCACTCTCAAACCTCAACATCTCCCCCCTCCCCATCCACCCCCAGGCGCACCACCACTCCTCCCGACAGTGCCGGGAAATGTGTTAACTTTAAATAGATTTTAAAAAACAACAAAAAATCAAACTCCCCAAAAAACTATTCACGTTGCTTTCCACCGACCTTCCCTTCTTCCATACGCCGTGCAAAACAAAACAAAACGACGACGAGAAACAGCCGCACGTGGAGTCCAACACGCGTAGGACTACACACAGTCACAGGCGGAATCCAACACGCGTAGGACTCCGCACAGTCGCAGGTGGAGTCCAACACGCGTAGGACTCCGCACAGTCGCAGGTGGAGACTAACACGCGTAGGACTCCGCACACCAATGTTGCTCACAGTTACATCGCTGGTGCTGCGATTTATTGCACCCCCCGCCCCCCCCAAAAAAAACCCGGCAGGATGTATATGTGTAGATGCATGGTGTACATGTGTACATGTATGGTGTGTACGTGTACATGCATGGTGTGCACGTGTACATGCATGGTGTGCACGTGTACATGCATGGTGTGCATGCATACTGTCTGTTAATTGCCATGTGAATGACCCATCCGGTAATGGATATCCATTGTAATTTACATTCATACATTAAACCACCCCGCCCCCCTTCTGACGCTCTCGCACCCGATTGGCTCACGGGTGACGACGTCATGTTAATCCCCCTCTATATAAGGAGCGAAACGGGAGGATTTTCTGCACGACTCTTGGCTTTCGCCTGATGATGCTGGTGGTGATTTACTGGCGGAACGTCGTGCTCGGATCGTAAATGTTGTTGCTTTACCCCCCAACGCACCGGTGTGCTGTGCTAGTGACGCATTGGCCACGTTTTGTTTACGTGACACACTTTACTCCAGTGCCGGATTAAGCTAGTGCGAGGCCTGTAGCATTATGTTAAAACGGGGCCCTAAATAAAACAAAAACACACGTAAATATTAAAGAAACATCAAATTTTAACTTGGATAGTAAAGTAATTGTATTTTTTCATTTGCTATGCATCCAGATAATACGACAAATCGCTAACCCTAAACACCAAGTCGTTCATAAAAGTCGAAGGCGGTATAGTACTATAGTAAATAGAGCAAGTGCAGAATCACGGAACCGGAATTGATAGCTTGAAAGCGTTTAGCGCTGGGCCCTTGAAAGCGCGGGGCCCGTAGCATGTGCAGCTACTTGTGCTACCGGCCTCAAGGTGCACATGGCCTGGCACAAGCGTCGTGGTGATGTCACCGCCACTTAGTGGCGAATGGCGATTGTTGTTGTTGTTGTTGCTCCTACGTTAACCCGGCACCGATTGCAGGGGCTGCGCCTCTACCCTCGCTACGCACCGCCACCGCTCCCCTGCGATGTGAGACGCCGCGGTGTGGAGCCGCCTGCCCTTTGCCCCCCCCCTCCTCCCGGGGCTAACGAGAGCTGTCCGCTCCGCGCCAGGTGGAGCGTCGACGTCTCGCTGAATGACAACGGCGGCGGTCGACGGCCCCAGCCACAGCGGCAGCAGCAGCAGCAGCGAAGGACGGGCGCGCCGTGAGTGTTGCCACGGCATTCATCAGCGCGAGGGAGACAACCGCGTCGATAGACGCCCTGAGCGATGGCATCGCCGTCTCGTTCACTCGCTCGCTCTCTCTCTCCCTTACTCGCTCCGCTCTCTCCCGCTCGTTCCACTCCTCCTGCTCGTTCCACTTTACCGCTCTTTCTCCCGCTCCGCTCGCTCTCTTACTTTGCTCCACTCTCCCGCTCCCTCTCGCTCCCCTCGCTCTCCCTCTCGCTCCCCTCGCTCTCCCACTTTGCTCCACTCTCCCGCTCGCTCCTTGCGTACACACTCCCAACACCACGCAGATCGCGGCTGCCGGCATCACGACTGTCACGATATCCGCGTGTTGACGCCAGCAGCAGCAGCATAACACTGACAACCACAGACATCACCAGCGGCGCCATCACCCACATCACCATCACTCACAGGGGGCACAGCCGCACTTTGCCAGTTGGGCTGAAGTTGTAACTAATTGGCGTTTTGTTTACGTGACAAATGCCTGACAAATTGGCTGTGCCGGGTGGTGGAGGGGTTAACGACGCATTTATATTTACTCGATCTAACCCAAAGACCTCTATTATGTGCAATGACCCTGCTGAGCTGCAGCTCTAAACAAATAGCGTCGTTGCCATGGGCCCTGATAGAAAACTGTAAAATACTATAAACTACTTTTGTATTTTGTCAGGTGTAAGGCCTCACGGAGCATTGCAGCTCTTTTTCAGAAGCGACCTGACGACCTGGCGACATGATAGCTCAACGAAGTTGGCTTATTATCTAAATTTTGACTGAAGAATATGGCTTATCATCATCGCGTGGACATTCATAGCAGCCAAATACTCTAAACGCGCGACGTTGAGCCTAAATGTGGAGGCAAAAAATACTGGCGAACCCGCATAAAAAACCCACGTGAGAGGTACAGACTTCAAATTATACAACAGGCATCGTCAGGGTCAGGATCGAATCCACGACCTGTATACCAGGCGAGGTAGTTAACATTTCCTAGCAACCGTGATGGTGATGAGAGAGACACGCAAAGTCCAAATATACAGCAGGCATCGTAAGGGTTGGGATCGAACCCACGACCTCCTGCATACCAGGCGAGGTAGTTAACATCTCCTAGCCACCGTGGCACCCCAAAGGACTGAAACGAGCCCCCCGCTCTCCTCTTATCCCCAACTCCTCTTCGAGGCCCCTCTGGCGCCTGGGCCCCTGCGCAGTTGCACCGCCTGCACACCCGACATCCGCACCAGCGGCCCGTGCGGGGCACGCTCACCCCTTGTCTCACTCCGCGTCGCGATTGAGAGCCGCGGTTTCTGCTCGCGCTCTCGCAGGACCCAGCGCGCCTGGCCGGGAGACGATGACGGCGGAGGAGGCGGCGACGCGGGGGACGTGGGGGGCCCCGGAGGGACGGGTGAGCGTTGGGGGGGGCCCACGGTGGGCAGGGCCCTGGGGGGGTCCCCCGCCTCTCAGTCGCCATCGCCGACGTCGGATAAACTCTCCGCGTCGCTCAGCATGGCCTCCGCGTCCGCGAGCAGCACGCCGGTGGGTGACTCTCCGTGGGTGACTCTCCGTGGGTGACTCTCCGTGGGTGACTCTCCGTGGGTGACTCTCCGTGCGTGCTCTGTGGGTGACTCTCCGTGGGTGGCTCTCCGTGGGTGACTCTCCGTGGGTGGCTCTCCGTGGGTGACTCTCCATGGGTGACTCTCCGTGGGTGACTCTCCGTTGGTGACTCTCCGTGGGTGACTCTCCGTGGGTGACTCTCCGTGGGTGACTCTCCGTGGGTGCTCTGTGGGTGACTCTCCGTGGGTGGCTCTCCGTGGGTGACTCTCTGTGGGTGACTCTCCGTGCGTGCTCTGTGGGTGACTCTCCGTGGGTGCTCTGTGGGTGACTCTCCGTGGGTGACTCTCCGTGGGTGACTCTCTGTGGGTGACTCTCCGTGGGTGACTCTCCGTGGGTCACTCTCCGTGGGTGGCTCTCCGTGGGTGACTCTCCGTGCGTGCTCTGTGGGTGACTCTCCGTGGGTGACTCTCCGTGGGTGACTCTCCGTGGGTGACTCTCCGTGGGTGACTCTCCGTGGGTGACTCTCCGTGCGTGCTCTGTGGGTGACTCTCCGTGGGTGACTCTCCGTGGGTGACTCTCCGTGGGTGACTCTCCGTGGGTGCTCTGTGGGTGACTCTCCGTGGGTGGCTCTCCGTGGGTGACTCTCTGTGGGTGACTCTCCGTGCGTGCTCTGTGGGTGACTCTCCGTGGGTGCTCTGTGGGTGACTCTCCGTGGGTGACTCTCCGTGGGTGCTCTGTGGGTGACTCTCCGTGGGTGACTCTCCGTGGGTGACTCTCCGTGGGTGACTCTCCGTGGGTGACTCTCCGTGCGTGCTCTGTGGGTGACTCTCCGTGGGTGACTCTTCGTGGGTGACTCTCCGTGGGAACGTGCCGAGGTCCGTCGTCGTCATGGCACCCCGTTGGTGATTCAGAGATGAGCGACATCGTTGGTCGGTTCTTCGTAATTGTGGTGATTTGTCTTGCGGGTTCACGTGAAGCGCTCTCCCCTCTGGGTGTCTCAGTAGAGACACTCTCCCCTCTGGGTGTCTCAGTCGAGACACTCTCCCCTCTGGGTGTCTCAGTAGAGACACTCTTCCCTCTGTGTGTTTCAGTAGATACACTCTCCCCTCTGTGTGTCTCAGTAGAGACACTCTCCCCTCTGGGTGTCTTCGTTGAGACTCTCTCTCGAGCCACCGTGGCGTCCCAAACGACGCTCGTGCGCACGTGACACCTCGCGTCATCGCGTCCCGGAGTCATTCGAGCAAAGTTCGACAGCAGATCCCGTGACCGCTGCCATCGGCGAGCGCCTCGTGTGAACTTTCCCGCGTGGGTCGGCGGGACGGGAGGTTTTGTAAGGAACCTTTTTTCTCGTGTGTTTGTTTTTTTGTCGCAGCGAAAGCGCCTGCGGACGGCACGGGCGAGATGATGATCATGATGGGCCGGCCACGGCCGGAGCTGTGGGCAGTACAGGGTGTTTCAAAAAGATGGGCCCGATTTTAAATCGCTATATCTCTGCAATTGGGTCCATCGTCTTGAAATACCTTGTATTTCCTGGGCTGCGCAATAACTCTCTCCCCTCGGGTTCTACTCCCCCCCCCCCCCCCGGTAAAAATCACGGGCCTGACAAGAAGCCGATACGGCAGTGCGTTATGTGAAAGTGTATGATGAGTATTGTTGTTGTTGTTGTCGTGTTCACTGGTCCTTTTTTTTGTTTTTTTTTACCACGTTCGCCTTACCGCGTGCGTCAATGTGAGTCGGCGGCGTGGAAGCGAAAGAGATATGTTGTTCGTACGAGCAAAAAAAACAAAACGGATCTCGGAAGGTATTTATTTATCTCCCACGCCGAATGAGCGGCATCGTTGTTGATCCGCACGTGGCATCGTGGGGAGCGGTGAGCGCTCAGCACGCTGTGTGTAGGCCTTCATCCAGCAGTGGATTGATCATGGTTGATGACGGCGCTGATGACGATGAAGTGACGAGCGGTGTCTGAACCTTCAGCAGCCCGCATTGCTGACCGGTGTGGTGAAGTATGGTCAAACACCCCCTAGGACTGACGCGGAGGGCAGAGGTGAGGCTCTCATCCCACAGTGGACTGACAAATAGCTGCAAATTATAATTGTTTTTGGCGTTGGTGATAATAGTAATCTCGACCACGGTGGTGTTTGGCACCAAGATGAGGATGTATCAACACGGAGCGGAAAGTAGAAATGATGATGTGACGAGTTGGCGATGGGATTTAAAAAAAAACCGCACACACGCACACTTGCCACGGGCGGATGGATTCTCGAATCAATGAAGTCTTGAAATGCGGGGGTTAAATGGGAGGTAGAGGCAGAGTTTGGTTGAGTCGCAAGATCAAAAATGGATGGAGGCGAAGTTCGTTCTCTCGTTCTCTCGTGCTCATTTCTCTCCGTTTGAATGCCCCGGAACGCGTTGCCGGCATTGAGTGTCGCAGCAACAACAAAAAAATGCCGCGCAACAAAAAAATTGCGACGTGAAACATCTCGGGGTCAAATAAATCACCCGCAGAGAGCGGAGGCCACGCATCTCATTGGCAAATAGCAGTCATACTGTGCGGCCCTTTGTCAATCTACTGCTGGATGAACGACTCTGCATGGAACTATACCCTGGTGCTGCGATCAAGGAGACCTGGGGTTCAACTCCCAGCCGTCATAACACGTCGGTGGTATCGAGTTATCTGATCACTCCCACTTCGTCGATTCAGACTTCAACGAGTGTTTGGTGAAATGTTCGTAACGTCAGCACTGGGGAGACAGAGAGGCATCTGCGTGTGGTGCTGGCTACACTGCTCCCCGTGTGCTATCATCATCATCAGACACGGATCATTCCACTGTTGTCTGCATAGACTCACACAGAGTCCCATCGTTTGCTGTCCTTACCCCGCACCTGCGATTAGCACGGTTGGCTAAACACGGTGCGAAAGAAGTTCAACATAGTACCATCGTACATGTTGTCCATGGCGTTGCTTAAACAAAATCCACCACATCCTTGTAGATGCGGAGGGGGGGGGGGCGCATGCTCAGTCAGTGTTAAAGTTTAAACGAACATCAAAAGCTAAACAGAATGAGTAACAATGCGATCTGCGCGTGTCCACCGTGTATTCTACTCTGCAGCCTCTCACCCACCTGTTGTATGTACGTGTGTACGTTGACCTTCTTTCGCACCGTACGTAGCCAACCGTGGCTAATCGGAGGTGCAGAGGGAAAGACAACAAACTAAACGCAAAAAAGCAGTTCTACAGAAATGAGTTTGTCAATATAGATGATGATGATGATTTAAAAGTATCAGAGCTTCCAGTGGCTTCCTAACATCGGAAGGAAGAGCGTTCCAGACGGCCGCGGAAACAGAGCATCTGGAAGCGCCGCGTGGTGCGGTGACCACCGCCGCCTTTGTTCGACGGCTGAGCCAAAACTCCGCAATGATTGCCCATTGTTACATTTCTTACCAACATCATTTGGCTCTGAGAATTTAGCAGGGGTTGGTGTTCAGCTTTTAGCAGAAGTGGGGATTGGTGCAGATTGGTGAAGTATGGGGGGGGGGGCTGCAGGGACCGTCTCCGTTATCGCTCCCCACTCACGTGAGTCATGGCTAGGAATCGAACTCAGGTTTGCGGGTGTTCGATGGGCGGCGTGCGGTGCTGCTAACCGCTGGCGCCACCACTCCACCGGGGAATCGGGCAGCATCGAAATAAATCACGGCCCTTCAGCCGCATCCCCGAATCTCCGATCCGACCGCGACTTCAAGAAACATTGCTGGACTTCGCGAAATGGGGCGTCATTGATTCCAATATCATAATGAAAGAACACTAATTGTTCTGCATAGGGGCGAATCACAACAATAACAACAATAGATCTGCCTAGGGTGGTACTGGACAATCATCATCATAGAAACAATCATTAATTTGTTTTAAAAAATATCAACAGCAGTCATTGTATGGGCAAACTTGCCCCTGCCATACGAATGTGGAATTTCCACAGGAATGGCTCACTCAGGGCTGCCGACGGAAAGGACCCCACGGCACTCACCGTCGATTGCTGACATATGTGAAGAAGAGCCTTCACGACACATCGGATCCCTCCTACAGTCTAAATAAAGATTGCTGATTGATCCTGAATTGATCTTGGGCGTGGGCAGGCGTGCCTTGCCAAGCACTGCCCTCTAGCGGGGGGAATCACGCATGGAGCAAAGACAAAGATCCCCCGTATAGCCTTAACAGACTGTAGGGGCAAGTGCTGTTCGCGAGCACCTTGGGGGTGGGTGGCCAGCACCACGCCCGGACGCCTTTGTCTCCCCAGTGGCGATGTCTACACACGGCACCAGGTACTCACTTGAGGCTGAGTCGACGCAGCCAATTAAGTTAAGGTTTGTCACGTAAACAAAACGCGCCAATTGGCTACTACGGTAGTTCAGCACCATCGGTTGTGTGTTGGAGAGTGACCCCACACCGGGTTGTGTGTTGGAGAGTGAACCACACCGTGTTGTGTGTTGGAGAGTGAACCACACCGGGTTGTGTGTTGGAGAGTGAACCACACCGGGTTGTGTGTTGGAGAGTGAACCACACCGGGTTGTGTGTGGGAGAGTGAACCACACCGGGTTGTGTGTGGGAGAGTGAACCACACCGAGTTGTGTGTGGGAGAGTGAACCCACACCGGGTTGTGTGTTGGAGAGTGAACCACACCGGGTTGTGTGTGGGAGAGTGAACCACACCGGGTTGTGTGTGGGAGAGTGAACCACACCGGGTTGTGTGTTGGAGAGTGAACCACACCGGGTTGTGTGTGGGAGAGTGAACCACACCGGGTTGTGTGTGGGAGAGTGAACCACACCGAGTTGTGTGTTGGAGAGTGAACCACACCGGGTTGTGTGTGGGAGAGTGAACCCATACCGGGTTGTGTGTGGGAGAGTGAACCACACCGGGTTGTGTGTGGGAGAGTGAACCACACCGGGTTGTGTGTGGGAGAGTGAACCACACCGGGTTGTGTGTG